GAAATTTGGTGGAATTTTTAAAAAAAACGGTTGTGTGGAGTTAAAATAAATGAATCTATTTTTTTGTAGTCGGCTATCACAGCGGTTTGAAATCCATCAGGCACAATGTAAAAGAATCTATATTATGTGGCCTCCAACATGACTTCATGTAATTAGCATTTTACAATTTGTGATTTCTATGTCTATTGTAATAAGAGATATTTCATTTACTTTATTTTTTATCGTTTTATCTGCTATCTTCCTCGATCCCTGTGTCTTAGAGTTCTTTACTGATAACTCGGCTGTGGGGGGGTGTTTGTTCTGGTTTATTGGATTTTTGTTTCTGTTTTCTGTAAAGTATTGTGCATTTTATTTGTTCGAAAAAGTCCTCCATAAATGAAGTCTGATTGATTGGTTGAGGGTGTAAAAGCTGTAACTTGCTGTCTTTAGCTGTGATTCATTACAAAACAAGAGAATGTGCTGCTAAGTCCATTTTTTTTGGTTGATGTTGTGACGTTTAACAAAATCAAATATCAGAGTTCACATCACGTGGGACCTTTAACGGCACCTTTATATGCATAATAAATTAAGTTCATCAAGTGGAATGTACAGTTTTTTTGATGACATACTGGTTGTTTAAAACGCTGATATTTGATACGGGTTGGAAAAAGCGTAGTCCTGCAGCAGCAGCAGCAGCGTGGCGATAGCTACAGTCGTCCTCAAGTTTATTCATCCCCTTCCATTAAAGAAAAGGCAAAATTCACAACAGTCACTCAAATAACTAGAAACTGAAAAAAGTAATAATAAATAAAAATTTGCTAAATTATAGTTTAGTGAAATAAAACATTGTTTTTTTAATTGTGAGTAAAAGGAATAATTTTTAAAAAAAAATGTCAATGTCATGACTTTCAATACATTTTTATTTGTTATTACTGTTGTCAATTTCAGCATATTTCAGTGACTCCCTCCGTTTTTTTTCCTTCTTTAATGGGAGGGTATGAATACATTTGAGGACGACTGTATGTGGAGAAGCTGTAATTGAAACTGTATGTCAGTGTGATCAAATAATAAAATGCTTTGTGTCACAGATCTGTATGCAAGCAAGAATCTAATAGAGAACTTTAAGGAAACTTTTCCATCATCAAGCCAGCAGGACAAATTCCCAGCTTTGTTTAGACAGTGTAAGACAATCTCTTGAAACAATATTTTGGACAGTAATATAATAAATACCATCCTAACATCAGGTGATTGAGCCTTTTTTTCTTGCGTGATTCATCAGAACAGCAAACTTTCTACGTTTGGTTATCACATCATACGGTGTTTTTCTCTATAATTCTGATGCCACCTCGTCTCAGCAGTTCCTCATTTCTTGGCCACCACAATGCAAAGATTTTAAAAAAAGGATGTGTTGGTTGGCACGTTTTTCAGTTAAATGGGGAAAATGCAGCGATTTAGGCTAAAATTCAAATTGCGACAGGTAACTTTCTGCCGATACTATGCAGTCACTACAAAGTCATTTTATTACAGTTTTTCGGCTTGACTGATGTCGGGGAGTCATACATCACTTTCATGGCATGAGCAGTATATATACTTTATATTTGCATTTCAAGTGTGGAGTGCTTCTTTTACATAAGTGACGGTTTTAAGACAAGGAGTTATAACAGGAGTGATTCTAAAGTCCCCTTTCAGCTGCTGGTGAAAAAGCAGCAATTAAAAGAAAAGAGAAAAATCTATGGGTAGGAAATGTTTTATGAATTCTAGGCACGGAAGTGGATCATTAAAAGGTACAATTATGCAATAACTATAGGCTGGACTGTGAAATATGGCATCTCCCAGATAAAGATCATTTTTAAGTTGAAAGAATTTGAGGAGAATGTATTTAATTAATGCCGTTGTAATACACTTTACAGCAGAGAACATCCCAACCTGCTGATATTATAGGATTCTTTAAGTTGAGGCAGCATTAGAAGAAACATACGGGTTCTTTGTTTGAGTTAAAGAACAGTGAAAAGCACCACGATCAGGGTCTCACTGAACTAAAACTGCAAAACTGTTACAAGCAAATATCAAGTGTTAAGGAAAAAATATGAAATTAAATTATTATTAGTAGTAGTAGGAGTGGTAGTCATAGTAGTAGTGGTAGTAATACTAGTAGTAGTAATGGTAGTAGGAGTAGTATATATATATAGACCGGCAGACAGGCATAAGAAATACAGAAGAATAAAACTTGAATAATTAAAAACCACAACGTAAAACACAAAAGATAAAATGTACAAACCAAAGGTGATATAAAACTTAAATTAGAGCAATGCATCAATAATAAAGTGTAATGTAACATAATGGTTAAAAAAATAAAACTAAAAATGAAAAGATGCTTTATAAGAAGGCCTTCTGGTACAAATCATTCTTCTAAGTTCTGGGGCCAGGAAGGGTTTTTAAAGGTTAAAAAAAGGAACATTTTAAAATCATATAATACTGCATGAGATTTTTAGATTGTTACTGCTAGAAAGCATGTGTTGAAAATCATCTAGATCAGGGCTCTCAAACTCACGGGCCAGTTGAGGCCTGCGGGACGATATTTTGTGGACATCAAAGTTTAACGTTAGTGCGGCCCACACGTTTTTCTCAAGTCGTTGCCCTGGGCGGTTTCTATTTTTTTAATCAGTTGTGGGATACCACAGCTCAGGCTCGTGACAGCAACACGAATTAGCAACGTTAGTCACTTGAAACATGATCGGAAGTGTCACCAAGTGGAGGGAACATATATCCTGTCACTCAGTGCAGTTGCATGTTGTTTGTTTGTTTTCTGTCTGTGTGAAAAGCTCTTCTCCACCATGAACTTTAATAAGTCAAAGTGCAGGTCCAAACTAACTGATGAGCATCTTCAAGCCATACCGAGGGTCTCAATTGCTTCCTCTCTCAAGAAAAAAGATTGAGAAGATTGGATCAGTTGTACTTTTTTGGAATACTTGAAACCCTTTCTTTGTGATGCAGCCCAGCCTCACCCAGACTCTACATCCAGCGGCCCACAGGTAAGTTGAGTTTGAGACGCCTGATCTAGATCTAGGTTTATTACAGTGCCAATAGATTC